CCTGCCCCAAGCGCCCTCCCTGCCTTGCTGGGGACGCGGCTGCAGCGGCGCGCTGCCCTCGCTCTGCCGTTGCTGTGTTTATTTTTGCAGGCTGACGGGCCCCCCAACCCCGCACCCGCTGTGCAACGGGCCCAAGGCTGCGCGGCAGCGAGCGCGGTGGCCAGCCGCTGGCGTGCTGCAAGGGGCCAAAAGGAAAAGAAAAAGCTTGCTCGGGAGGGAAAAGCAAACAAATGCAAAAAAAAAAGAAAGAAAGAAAGCAAAATAAATAAAAAGCTTGGCTTTGCCTAGACAGAGGTTAAGAACTAACCTGTCCCTAAACTTTGCTCTGATTGTCAGCTGAAACCTTTCTCCAAGAGGAATTTGTTCCTAACTAACCATTATCGTGGAAAGCTTACGTACGCTTTCATTTTTCCTTTGGAAAGACACAAACAGTAGGGACACTTTACTATACACCCACTGAGGAATAAACTTTCTCTTTTTTCAATTCATGAATATAAACATATATAGTTAAAAAGTGACACTTTACAAAAATACAATTTATTGCTGACCCTGCGGGCTTGTAACATCGCTTGTGGCATTGTGAGTATAAGTAAGTTTTAGGTTTGTCAGATTGAAACATGACCTAGCAAAACCACAAAGTTTGCTGTCATAGGTGGTGGGGTTTTTTTTTGTTTTTAGGTGTAAAGAAACACTTATAGCAACACCCATTTGAAACAAAATAACAACAAAGTAAGAGCAAGGAATCTTTGTCTGTAATCTGAAAAAAAAATTTGGCTACAGGGAGTAAAAACACACAAATTTATCTGCACTTGTTAACCAAAATGGAACATGACAAATACCTTACTAGTTGCGACGTGAGCTGGTATAACGAGAGTAAGAAATTCAGGCAAAAGTGGTGTTACGTGACTTAGCAGCATTATCCAATCTTCTGGAAAACAAAAATTGTGGGCTTGAGGTATAGGAAAAAGGAGGAAAAAAAAAAAAATTCCACGATGGCCCTACTACAACCAAACGAGCTATGTACACGCTAGCCCAACGGTATCCTGCCGACTGCTATCGTTTGTGTGCATCTCCCCAACGCTGGTCGTAAATTCACAGTGACTCTCAGCAGTCAAGTCCTGAATGGAAACTATTTCTCTCCGTTGCAAAGTGAGCGTCAAGGTGACCTGACAAATACCATCCCTGCAGCCAGACGCCCCCCCCCTCTCCCCCTCCGACGGGGCAGGGGCACGCAGGGCTCGGG